GAAATTTACAACTTTGCAAAGGTTTTTGAGATTCTGCTGGAGCGAGTTATATATCGGCATGTTAGTTGCAATACAAGTGTAAACCAACACGGTTTAATGAAAAATCTTTCAACGGTCACCAATCTTCTGACTGTAACCCAACATATTTCTGAATCTATTGACAATAGGGCCCAAACTGATGTTATTTACACAGACTTTTCTAAGGCCTTCGACAGGCTTGACCATGGCATTCTACTGAATTGGAATCATATCCATTCTTAATCACACTCTATCAGTCCTATCTACGGGATCGAAACAATATGTACTAGTGCTTCTTCCGGTGTTCCACAAGGTTCAAATCTGGGACCGTTGCTCTTCAATATATTCATTAATGATATTGCAGATGTTATAGATGTGTATTTCCTTTTATATGCCGATGATCCAAAACTATACTGTCTCGTTGAGAACGTAGATGATTGTGTGAACCTCTCAGCAAACGTAGGACGGCTTGTAGAATGGTGTTATCGAAATAACTTGTCACTGAACCCGGATAAATGTAAGGTCATGTCCTACAGTTTGAAAACGAATATCTTGATCTTTGATTGTTCAATAGAAAACGTCTTGTAGAGTATTGTATTACAAATAAATAAGTAAATAAAAGCTTGCCTTAATTTTTTCTCTAGAAATATATTGTTTTTATCGAATCCAACCCTGGATGTGACATCTATTTCATGGTCTACGAACTGCCTATCATAAACGAATGCGTATACAAAATTTCGTGTCCCTGCTATATACCGCTGAGGAGATCTCTCGTACGGAGCCGATCCTGGCAGCAGCATCAGGCCACGTTTATGATTACCATACATTGTCATCGGTTCTGGACCAGCATGCAAAATTTCAGGTCAATCGGATACCGGAAAGTGGGTCAAATTAAACTTGAAAGATTTGTTAACATACATACAAGTCAAGTTGAATAAAAGCTTTTCATTGAAAATATATAAGCATCAATATTTTCAACGAATTTGAATTGCGCATCAGTTGCTGACGTACAAACGCTCATGTAGCTATGGTTCATATTTTGTGTTGATGCAAGTGATTTAATTGTTTACAATCTACCAAGAACTGAAAGTATTTTTTTTTCAGCACCGTATTTGAACGCCTGCCATAAAGATGACCCGAACCTCAACGAATGTGGCTTGAGAGAAGCAAAGAATGGACTCCCTTACATTCTGAAAGGGGACCGACGTTATGGAATCCCCAATTTTCTTCCAATGAAGCTGGACATAATATCTGTAGATACCCCCGGAAACTTCAAGATCAGTCTCAAAAATGTTTCCATATACGGACTGGAGAAACTGGAAGTGACGGGAGTGAAGTAAGTTGTAATGATTTATATGTACAGGGTATTAGTTTGAAAATACAAAATATAAAGATGGGGGACTATTTATATTTCTGAAACCGTGTGGGTATCCTGAGAGGAGCTGGATCCAACAAAAGTGTTAGTGGAAGAAGCACAACGAAGCAAATGGTCGTCTGTTTCTTCGCCCGAATAGGTCATGTGGCCACCGTTCCGCTTGAGCAACGTAGAACGGTCAGTTCCTAGTGGTACACGACCATTTTTTGCCGGAAGTCTTCGGAGAAGTTCGTCAAACTATCCGCCGAAGACAAAGCAATCTCCATCATGACAATGCGAGCTCTCACACATCGGCTCAAACAACTGCATTTTTGGGCACCCAAAACATCGAATTGAAGACTCGTCCTCCATACAGTCCTAATTCGTCACCCGAAGACTTTTTGTTCCCGAATATCAAAAGTAAACTGCGTGGTCAACTATTTACGAGCGCCTAAGATGTAGTTAAAGCGCTCAAACCATGTTTTGGTGGTGTCTCAAGAGGAATGGAAAAATCACTTTGACAAATGGTTTGAGAGATTGCAAAAGTTTATTGATCATCAATGGCAATATTTCGAAAAACAATGAAGCCGTTTTCATTGAAAAATGTTTGTTATCATTTGCTACTCCCGAAAAATAAATAGTACCCCTCGTAGTAGTGGTTTTAGTTGCTCCAGACATGCGAGTCTTTGTATCCTGATCAGTTTCTCAACAGCGCTAGTTTGTTTTATCTTTAGCCACCAGATAGTAGACGCATCTGTATCTAGATCTGTAGAGTAGGGAGGGTGAGTGAGGCCACATGTGACCGATTGTACATCCTCTCGAGGAGTTGTCCTTCTAGGTCATCGTCCATTATGTCCTTTCCAGTCAATGAAAATACGTTCCATTTCAGGGCCAATCTGACTGAACACGTTGTCAATATGAATTTTTCAGTGCCAAGTTATACCCTTTTATCGAAGTATGAAATGGATGGGAGAATCCTGGTGCTTTCTTTAAAAGGAGAAGGGGAATCTAATATTACTGCAAGTAAGTAACAAACAATATGGACAAAAGGGTGTTCCATTTTTAGGCAAATTTTTCTCCCCTTCATCATCTGAAAATGTTTAAATATATAGGATAAGTCCCCTTGGGAAAAACCCAAGTGGATTAGATTTTCTGTTCATTCGAAAATTGGATTTTCCTTTTGAATACTAGGTTGTTTCGAAAGTTTTGCCCGTTTTCATTAGTCTACTATTTCAGTGAATATTCAATTTACTCAAAATGAGCGTCATTTGGATCAGTACCTTTAAGCAACGTCCATTTTGTCCGTTTTCATGAGTCTACTATATCTACTATATCAATGAATATTGAATTTAGTCAAAATGAGCGCCATTTGGATATGTGCCTTTAAGCAACGTAGAAGAATCCAATTAATTGGGTCATTATGAAAATGGTGTACTCATGATTTGAAGAAGTCGACGACGGTCGTTTTTGTCTGGTTCTTGATTGGCGAAGGTTCTTCCAGTGAGAAAGTTAGCAAAGTCACGGATTTTTCAAAAATCACTGAACAAATTGAAATTCTACAGCATATACAGTTTTTTTTTCATGTGTGGGGATTTATGAAGTAACAATTTTTTGAATCAAGCTCTTTGAAAACTTTGTTACTTTGTCGATTATCATTATTGTTTAATTTACAGTGAATAATTGAAAAAATTGTTTATTACCTCTATATTGAATAAGTACTCTTCAACTAAGAAAAATCTTATTACGACTATTACGAATATTATAATTCAACGGAAACAATATCGTATAGTATCTTCATCGACTTGATTTTTGTAAAATAGTTTCATTCACTTTTCAGCTGATGTGACTGTTGAATATGAATTGAAATACGACCTAGTTGACAAAAAAGGGGAACAGTTCGTCAAAATAGCTGATCAACACGTTCATTATGAAGTATCCAGAGCATATTTCAACTTCACAAACCTGTTCAACGGTGACAAGTTACTAGGTGAGTAATCTTATTTCAAATTTGCAAACGACCATCACGATATTCGTAAAGTTTACCCTTTGTTACATAACAATCAGCGATAGCTCAGAAATCGATGGCATAACATTGAATTATCTAAAAGAACAATTTGTTCAGGTATTCTCTTTACTATATGTGAAGTTTTCTTTTCTTATACGAGGAATTAGGCCAATCTGATATGAGGTTGATTACCTCGTTCACAGGCATGTAGGGCGATGACAAATATGTTATAAATATATCAATTGCTCTTTTAGACAATCTGATTCACAACCAGCCTTCGATTTCCAGGTTTTTTGAACCCTCCAAGTTTTTGTTGTGTTCTTTGACTCCAGTTTACTATCTCGATGTCTCCGACCAACATACTTGTTAACGCAGAAACAATGTCAATTTCATTCTCATTTCAGGTGACAGCACAATCAACCTGTTGAACGACGAGTGGAAGTCAATCAACGATGAGTTGGAGGAAGGAATTGAGGAGACAATAAAATCAGTATCTGCGACGATTGTTGGTGGTATTTTTGAAAAAGTACCCTACAGATTCGCTTTTCTTTAAATGTTTAATTTTTGAGTGGAAACTTTGTATCAGTACACTTTTCCTACAATTGTTTTTTCACGTAGCCCATCTTCGGAAAATTTAAGAGGTTATAAACATTGCTTGCGAGTAGCATAAATTTTACGCTTTTTATGCGATACCAAAAAAAACGAACGATTCTTGACCTGGAGGTCGATAGTTCAAATCCTGGCAATATTTTTACAACATATCTTGGCTTTGTAGTAATATTTGAACAACTTGTTTATGAAGAGACGATATTAGACAATAAATACTACTAATATCAAACGATTTCGTCTTTACTTATCGCAAAAAAATCCAAAGAGCTCAGTCTGAATACTTACAAGAGAAAATTGAAAAATTATTTCTTGAGGCATTGCCTCTATTCTGTCGATGACTTCATAACACATTTTTGTGGTAACACACAAGTCACTGCTTCTTTTTGATTTCCAAAGTTTTTACATATGTGACTGTTCTTATTTGCTTGTGAATTTTAACTAGTACATTTTGAATGTAAAGCCAAACATGACTTGCTACAAACATATTGTATTATGTAACGTAGGCAAATAAATATTACCATTATTATTATACCGATTGATAGGGAATTTTGTTCTGTATACATTGGTGCTGGTTATTTTTTCCAAATTGTATGTTATGAAGGAGCATTAGTGAATTACCTATCAATCAACTTCTGCGGATGGAATAAAAGTCTGTACATTACAATTACTGTCTTTATGAGATTGAAAAAATTTGTTGCCGTAGTGGCAATTATATTCAAAGGAAGTCAATGAAATCGCAATATGATAACTACATTCATTTATTCATTTTCATTTTCGAAGATGTATAATATCTCGAAATACCAAAATTTTCATATCTACATAACAATAAAGCTTACAAAATAACATTGTATTGAAGTCCAAATCCAAACAGATTTAGGGTTTTTAGAGCCAAAATTGGACACACTGCACATAACAAATAATAAGAACATTTCAGATTATGGTGAATTGAAATCAACAAAAATCTAAGAATAAAACTGAACAGTGAAATGTTTCGAGTTCTTAGTGCCATTTTCAGAGATCTAAGTGAAGCAGAAGCATTGTTGGAGCACCAATTCCAAACAGTTATAGGGTTTTGAGTGAAGTTGGACATACTGCATACTCTAATCATAAGGGTGTTTCAGTTTCTGAGGAATCGGAATGAATAAATTCTATGTTTCGTGGAAAATGTTGCACTTCATTACGACTCCAACCCAGTGCAAGGATCCGATTAATCTTCTTGTACATGAACTTTATATCCAAAAGTTTCCAATTCCTTGAAGTAGTTTTCTTCGGCCAGCAAACTTATGTACCATGGCCTATTATCGAAACATCCAGCTGTTCCTCCGTATTCTGTGGGTAAAATATCACTTGGTATGAAGGCATGTAGCGATGAGAGATCACTACCGTGAAGTATTATCTGAAAAAATTGTTCATTAGGGAATACAGTAAACGATTCTTCCTCAGGTTTATCGACTATTTCGAATTATTGTTTCAAAAGTTTTATCTGTTTGTAATTAGCGATTTTTTTGCTGGTATCTGTTTGGCAACACTGTTTATGATAGATCACGCTTGAATCGTGTCTTGTGTCATTGTCTAACGAACAACAACGCTTGCACTTCTTCCGAGCTGTTCAGAAGCTTGTGGCTAAATTTCGAATTCAGTTTACATTATTAAACATTAAACCACCAACACGTACACGTAGAGTGGGGACCGAAGAAAATATTGCGGCTGTATCCGCCAGTGTTCGTGATGACCGTGAAATGTCGATTCGCCGCCGTTCGCAGCAATTAGGCCTCTGTTATTCCACTACGTGGAAAATTTTGCGAAAGGATTTGGGTGTAAAACCCTATAAGATACAGCTGGTGCAAGAATTGGAGCCACAAGACCACGGCTCATTTCTGGTTGAATGGATAGGTACGTTAACAAGCAAAATTGCCGAATTTGGAGGGAAGCCCAGCCACAAGCATCGCAAGAGCTACCGAGCAAGAGCAAGAGCTCAGTTAATACACACTCAATTCAATCCAAATGAGCGCCATTCGAATTAGTGCACTTCTACCAACGTAACACGGATAAATTATTCCCGTCAGCATTAAATTGTGTGTTCAGGGTTCGTTGAAGTTGACGACGGCCGTTCATGCCTGGTCCTGATTGTCGAAAGTTCTACCGGTAAGAAAGTTATCGAAGTAAAAAGATGGTAGTCGGTTGGCGTGAGGTCTGGGCAGTATGGTGGATGAGGCATTACTTCGAAGCTCAATTCGTTTGATTTTTGGATAGTGATTTGTGAACCGTGCGGATAAGGGTTGTTGTGGAGCAGGATCGGCCCCCATGGTTTTTTTTTGGTGAGATATGGACAAGAGCGAATAAAACTTTTGAAACAACCCAATAATACCATAGGCATAAATATGATGATTTTTTTTCAGTTGATCCTAAGCCCAACATCTCTCAAATGACAGGAACTACTGAAAGAGTTCAAAAAGAAATAGTCTCCTGTTGAACTCGATTATTTTTCGTATAAAAGCCCTCAACTGAACGATATAAATGTCCTGTGTTATATTACGGAGTTATATTAAATGAATTGATACCAAAGTAAGATAAAAATGTAAGAAAAAGATGGAGATTTCCAAAAATTATTTCATATTGAATAGTACAACCTAAATATTTTGATATATATGATGAAATTGGCAGATGTTCTTGGGTTCTTGACTTTCCACAGTCTGGAATGATCTGGGATTCATGAAAAATGAGAAATAAAGCTTTCTATGTTTTTCTACCACTTTTATTTGTGAGTAATGTTACTGTAGATTCGTCCTATGAGGACATTTTCAATCCTATATAATGGAAGTCCTTGTAGGACGAAACTGCAATAACTTCAGTTACGAATACAAGAGGTATGGAAACATTTCTCATGATGATCTACTACCACTCAGTACGGCTACATCCATCACTGTATTGATCTATATTCATTAATTTTTAAGATTGTGGTAGGTTATGAACCCAAAAATTATCAAAGAGCAACGACTCCTTCACTGGGGGGATTAAAACTCCAAAACAATTCTTCTCCATTATTTTGAATATAAAACCCCCTTTTTTTTATTCGACCCTGAAGTGTACTTCCAAATAATATATTACTTCATGACTATGTGCCAGTTTGTCCTACGAAGTGAACTGTGAATGATTCAGTAATTCCAAAGAGGTATTATGGGGTTTCAAATCAATATATTCGTCAGATAACATAATTAGGCCTTCAACAACTGTACTTTATTCATGAAATCGAAACATAAAGAAAAAAATTTATAGTAACTCATTGACAAAAAAGCCTCACTTTGATAAAAAAAAATAGCATTGACGAAATATCAATTAGAAAAACAGTTTGATAACTTGTGTAAAATGGAAATGATTTCATTCACGAATAATATATATGATAATAATATGAATTCATTAAATTTTCAGTACAAGGATCAGTCAATAACAATTTGAACAATCTGAACAAATTCAGGAAACCCACAAAGGACACCCTGTGTCTGATTTATGATCACATTATAAATCAGAACAATGAAAGTAAAATGGATTTGACAATTCAGGTTATGAAAATGTAAGGTTGTGGAAATCTTAAAATGTTGAATGTTAAAATGAAAATGCAAACATCTAAAAAGTATGAAAATTGCAACAAACGTTATGCTGTGAAATGTGCCATTACTCGAAATGATTTTAAAATATTGATGATGGGAAGAATCTTATACAAATATTTGGCAAATAAAATCGAATTCCCTCAGAGTAGCATTCCTCGAACTAGACTGAAGCGAACAACAAACAACAAGTTTATAATCGCCCCATCTGCCTGTGAACGAAGTAACCGACCGCATATCCGAATTTTGCCAAATTCCTCGTATAAGAAACAAAACTACACAAATTGAGTGCCTGTAAATCAAATTTCCTGAAAGAACAATTCGTTCAGGTTAGTCTCAACTTACCTACACTCTAGGTTAATGGACTGACACCTATCAGAAAATAACTACTCCCCTGGCTAATATCGATTGTTCTTTGAGGAAATTTCATCATTTTCCAACTCACCCTCTTTCTAATCTTCTCCTTCAAGAACGGTTTCAACACCGCCACGACCGCATCAAAGTAGAACGGCTCGTTAATGATATGGAAACCCTTAAACCTCAGGGGGAAAGTTTCCTGCACCAGCTCCACCATTTTCCTTGCGTAATACGGCGTAAAAAACTTAGCGTGCTGTAAACTTAGTCCCGCCATATCCAGGATTACCACGATCCCGGCTATCTGAGTTTCCGCCTCGCGCACGATGTGTTCCAAGGCCAACACGTTGGTGCGGAAAATTTCATCTATTGTCACCTTGTTGGAGTCGAAGTTATCTGGAAGATGCAAGAGTGCAGCTGAATCAGGCGCATTTAATTTAGATGACATGAAAATTCGTTGGAATGGAAGTTCGTCAATTGAAAACAGTTCTTCCACACCTGGGTTGCTTTTGAATATACCAGATTGTGCCCGAACATTCTACCACATTCCAGAATACTCCGGGATGTTGTTGAGTGTTGTGAAATGCTTTAAAACTTCTCCAAACTATCTGACATGTCGGAGAATATTCGGACGTAGTCTAAAAGGTTCGGTAAAATCCCCCATTGAGAAACGATAGGGGTAGTTAGAGGAAGTAGTAGATCTACAAGTGTGGTCCTAGAGGTAGCCGCCTCAACAGAGAAAACAAAAAAAATTTGGAATCTCCATGCAGCTCTATTCACTTCTGCCAACTACGTTCAATGAGTTCGATATCATTTTTATAATAATGTTACGTGTTTCTCCCGTGGGTTCACCAATAATTGACTACACTGAATATTCAAACTTAACTTTGTTTCACTTGAACAAACACCTCAACTGAAAATCACTTCGCGTACCGCACTGTAACATCCACTTCACTGTGTACTTGACTGTCCGAATAGGCTTGCAGCCAGCGTTTAAATATCGCAATGGAAAATCGTAGAATTTTCGCCGAAGTTCCATCGACATCGGTAGCATATTTCTTGCTGCTTCTCGAGCGGCAGGTAACATTGGATATTCCCACGCTTTCAGCTACGTCACGTTTGGTTTATGGTTACCAGTGGCGGCCAGCGTTATTTCCTTTCGGGCATGATTTACAATAATAAGAACTGTCTTTCTCCTCATTAACTGCCGACATTACTTCTTCATCGTTGGAAATACTTTGACGATAGAGCCATTTTTTCAAGTTGGGAAACAGAAAATGCTCCGAGGGGGATAAATCTAGCGAATAGGGTACATGAGGTAGCAATTCAAACTTTGATTCGTTAATTTTGGTCATTGCGATAATGGATTTGTGAGCTGGTGTATTGTCTTGATGAAACAACATTGTTTTCTTAGCCAACAATACAATATCATATATACATATATCACTATCGTACATCAAGTAGCTTTGAATCTCTAAAAATATAATTAGAGGGGTAGTCATTCTTTATATTGTACATAATTTTATTTTATTTTTTTTAAATACCTCAGATTTTTTCAGGTGGACGTCTAATATGCCACCCCAACTGAGTATGACATATTGAAGCCTAGATTGTACCAATGCGTAGTATATTATTTTGAGGTGATTGATATCGAGAGTAGAGAGAACATCATTCCACCAAGGACTCCAATAATCAGAACAACCATCTTGACAGAGTGATCTGGATAGAATCTGCGGAGTTCGAAAAGAAAATCTCGATATTTTATCCGTTTTTCCTCCTCCCCCGGAGCGTAGGGCAACACCGGTGTCTCGTCAATACCGTAAGAGTGCCGTAGATGGTAATATAGCACTCTTAGGGCCGCGTTATGTCGATGGATATAGGCCGAAACCGCATATGCTGGACATGCTGATAGCAAGTGCATTAGGGTCTCAGGCGCCTCGCGGCAGGCCCTGCACCTTGTGTCAGGAACCTCTATACCCATCACGCGACTGCGGTAGACTGAGGTGTTGAAGTTGAAGTTATTATTATTATTATTTTCATCGTAGTGTGCGCTGGTCAGGCTCTATCCCCCGAAGCCCCGATACATTCGGGAGGGCGCGCCAGCATTATCAACCAATGGCCACTCCCCACACCGTGGGGTAAGTGATCATTGGGTCCGAGAATCATGTGCCCTGAGAAAACGCAGTGAGCCAAGAATAACAGCCTTCTGCATCTGTGCGGCTAAGATTTCTGCCTTAATGCAATCATTATTATTATTAACTGCGGCCGTTATTGCTCAATTCCTTCACTTAAACATTGCAATAAATTTTCAAGATAGTCAATAAAAAGTATTCACCTGCATCCCAAAAAACCGATGTCATGACCTTGTCTGCAGATGACACGGTTGAAGCCAGTTCTCATTTTTGAGTCCACTATTTTGATTATTCTTTTGTCTTGGGTTTCAAGTGATGACCCATGTTTCATTAAAGGTTATGAAACGACGCAAGAATTCTGCTTTGTTGCTGCTTTGCCACACACTCAATTGAAACATCTTCACGGCACTGTTTTTGGTCGAGTGTGAGCAAACGCGGTACCCATCTTACAGCTTCCTCATGTCCAAGTTTCCAGAAGATATACGATATACGGCACTTTCTGAAATGCCTACCAGTTCCGCTAGTTCGCGCACTTTCAGTCGACGATCATTCAGTACCGCTTTGTGGATTTTCTTCACCGTTTCTGGAGTCTCCACCTCATCTAGTCGACCACTACAATGTTCGTCTTGGCAGCTCGTACGTTCTTGTTCAAACTCTGCTATCCAATATTTTACTGTTGTTAACGAAGGAGCAGACTCGCCCAGAGTAGAATGCAGTACAGCTTCCATATTGATTGGGCTAAGGCCTTTTATATAAAAGTAACGATATATACCCCATAAAATTTTTCTTAATTTTTACAAATTTACCGTTCGCTTTTGATGGCTGCCAAACAAATACTCAACATCTCAGAGACGTCAAACTTGAAACATCACTCCATCACTGGGACCACCCTCGTATATTACCCATTCATGCAAAATGGTTCTCTGGACCAAGTTATCAGCATGAGGAGATGGATGAGACCAAATCCTTCAACTAACTTCATACGTATCTGAACATGAGTATCATACCAAGAACCACACGCAAAATATTCGAAGTCTGAAACTCACCCACTCGTATCATGAATATCCGTCTTCCCAACCGATCTCTCTGGGGCAGCAAATTTTGTGCCTGCAGATCAAATATGTGGCTACACTGAGAAGGTAG